GTCGGCCGACAAACGTGTCTCGCGACGATATGGCGCGGGGTCGCCGGTGTGCGGGCCGAAATGTCTACCCGTTCCGATCGGGCGCCGAGAAAAATATCACGTTTCCGATGCGGCTCGAACGCGCCCCGGTCAGGTTCCGTGCTGTCCGGACGAGGAAACGAGCCGGTTTTCGCTTCAAATCTATTTGGCCGTTCGGTTACGCGCCATTGACCGGTACCAATTATGATTCGTTGAGCGCTGTACGATCTACGGCGTTATACAGTACAGTCTTGTGACGCGTACGCTTTTTTATTTAATTTTCGTCTGCACACGACTTTTCTATCAGAAATCTTGCTCTGCCGTTGTTTGTTACGTTTTAGATTCAGTTGGTAAAAAGGAAAGTTTTTTTTTTTCCAAGTAGTTTTCTTAATAATTTTGTCAACACCGGGAAAAAAATATTTTTAAATTTTTATTTGGCAGATACTATGCGGATACGGTTTTTCAGATTAATCGAAATGCTGGGAAATCGGACACGTTTATTATAAGTTGTACCTATAGTGTTAAAAAATATTAAGTTGAGCGCAATATGATTTTTTTTTTTATATGCCATTTAATATCGAATTTTCATTTCGTGTATAACCGAATTTCGCTCAGAATCATGTTAATGGTAATAGGTATAAGGATACAACAGAACTGTTCGTGTACGCAGATAACAGCTCGACCAATCAGTGCGCGTTACGCGGTTGACAATCATTCTCTTCGCTGTATTTATTTTAACGTAAAATTAGTCAAATAATTATTAATGTATTTTTAAAATAACGTGATACATATTGTTTCGCACGGTATTCAAAAGTATCGTCAACACGAATCGATTATAACGAACGTGAGAAATTTATAAATTTATAATCGTGGAAAAAATAATAAACTATACGGTTTGAAATTGTTTTTAAAATAGCGGTTCGCCTTTCATCGAATCTAAAATGTATTAAAATATAGCAGCCCAATTACCTGATTCGATAATGAAATATCCAGAACACGGAAAATGTATAAACTCGTCAACGTCCGATTGATAAGACGNATAGCAGCCCAATTACCTGATTCGATAATGAAATATCCAAAACACGGAAAATGTATAAACTCGTCAACGTCCGATTGATAAGACGTTGAATTTAATGACAATATTAAATTATTATTATTATAATTTTTTTTTTTTTTTGTTTATTTAAAGGAATAACCACCGCGTATTGTAACAACGCATCTTGTTCTTTTGTAAAGTTATTAAGTAACCTACCTATTTATTATAATAATTTCGAAACGTAATCCGTACTCGCATGGGTACATTCTTTTTTCCATTTCATACAAATGCGGTTTCGGTTAAAAATTTATTTTTTTTTTATTTTTACCTCCGCTTATATTCAAGTGTTCCGAATAAGTAGTAGGTATGTGTGTAGTACGATAAACCGGACAACTTTCAAGTTTCGATTTTATTTTATGCGAACGCCGCGTGATTGTGTGAACAATACGTTGCAGGTTTTCAATTTGCAAACTAATTTCCACGTATTGAATGTAGTAACATGAGTATGTGTAGTTGAAAAAAAATTGAATTCAATACGAAATCGCTGAGACTTTTTCGAAGACGAAAAATCTCGTTTTTGGAAAACACAATAGACAATAGTGTTCGTGAATTTGTTTTTGAAACTCCGCTATGCGACACTCGCATACCCGTGAGCGACCCGACAACAGAAGAAAACACGACAAACGACGTCGAGCTTACATTTGTTTTTAATGACGATTATTTTTCGCTTTCGACCGCCATAGGATCGCGCACGTCATAGGCGGATCTAGAGTTTTATACTTGAGCGTGCCCAGCCTTCTTTGTAGTCATTTTAGATTCTGAGTGGACCGAAGAAGCTTATGGTTTTAAATAGATGTGGTTTTTTTTTCTATGGTCAACTATTCTACCAGCAATTTCAATCCAATTTATATTGATAGTAATTTTTCTGAAACGGAATTTGACCGGGGAGGTACTTTAAAGAGGTAATTTTTAGATTTTTTCGGAAGTTTTTTCCAAAACATGAAAAACGGGAAAAAAAAAAAAACGTAGGAAAACCGGGAAACATAATGTTTATTATTATTTGTTTATTAGTTTTATTGTTACATTAGGGTGTGCCACGGCACACCCGGCACACCTCGTAGATCCGCCAATGTCACACGTTAATATTATTTATAGTACGCTGGCTTTATGCGAGAACAAAATTAAAGATTATTTAATAGATTTTGCATTTTAGAAAATATACATTTTTTTAATTAATTTCATCACGGCCGAAGCAACGGAGTATTTAATCGATTTTACTTATTGGGTTTATCGTATGTATAATGTACAGGTAACTATGTGACAAATTTAATCAAATCAACCGAATTAAAACTTTAAGCTCTTTTTTAAATGGAAAGTATACCGATACTGCATGCACATTATTCATGGAGAGACGTGATGTACTCGTACTCACATTTAGTGAGGAAAGGATCAAAGCGTATTATAAAACCTGCAGTAGGTACACTAGAGCTGTTTTTCGATTTTGCTCAGACTTAATGAATGCTGTATAAATGTTATCGTGCTGCAGGATACCGTTTCAATTTACCGTTTCAACTATACATAGGTATCCACTTTTAATATAATATTAAAATGGCCATAATAATATATCATGCAACTTGGCGAAATCATGTTTCTTTATATTCTAACATATTTCGTTTACAAATTTATACTATGCATCTTCTATTTTAAATAATATTTAACTTCAAAGGAGTATTGCATTTCTGTATAACCGTGTGTGCGGAAAAAAAAATTTCTTTTTCGCGTATTTATAATATAAACATAGATGTGAAACGTGTTATACCTCAATTAT